ATCCACTACCTGCATTTGTTTTCTGACCATTATTATCATTCGTTCCATTTCATGATTATTACTGAAAACTATATTGTTGTATAGAGGAAAGGAAAGTAAACAAAATAAAGCAAAGGAAAAAATAACAGTCTGGGTGTTAAATATGCTGAGTACAGCATTGCTCAAGGACACAAGGATAGCGAGTAAAACTGTTATAAACATCTCACAATTAGAAAATGACACAGAAATGCATTTTTTCCTTGGGGAGACTGGGAAATTTCAAAAAAAAAATTTTTTTTCAACGTTTATTTATTTTTGGGACAGAGAGAGACAGAGCACGAACGGGGGAGGGGCAGAGAGAGAGGGAGACACAGAATCGGAAACAGGCTCCAGGCTCCGAGCCATCAGCCCAGAGCCTGACGCGGGGCTCGAACTCCCGGACCGCGAGATGGTGACCTGGCTGAAGTCGGACGCTCAACCGACTACGCCACCCAGACGCCCCGAGACTGGGAAATTTCAAATACAAGTGCCATAGCAGAGTGATATATATGCACATTATGTATACTTCTCCCTATTAAAATGGAAGAAAAGAAGGTGACTCAGTCAGTTAAGCGTCCAACTTCGGCTCAGGTCATGATCTCACAGCTTGTGGGTTCGAGCCCCGCGTGAGGCTCTGTGCTGACAGCTCAGAGCCTGGAGCCTGCTTCGAATTCTGTGTCTCATTCTCTCTCGGCCCCTCCCCTGCTCCTGCTCTGTCTCTGTCTCTCAAAATAAACATTAAAAATGGAAGAAAAGGGGCGCCTGGGTGGCGCAGTAGGTTAAGCGTCCGACTTCAGCCAGGTCACGATCTCGCGGTCCGTGAGTTCGAGCCCCGCGTCAGGCTCTGGGCTGATGGCTCAGAGCCTGGAGCCTGTTTCTGATTCTGTGTCTCCCTCTCTCTCTGCCCCTCCCCCGTTCATGCTCTGTCTCTCTCTGTCCCAAAAAAATAAATAAAAAACGTTAAAAAAAATTAAAAAAAAAAAAAGAAAATATAAAAAAAAAATGGAAGAAAAGAGGGGCAAAGTAGGAGGGGTAGTAGACGTTCCATGTCGAATGTGAACAATGTAGCAAATTGAAACCATGAAGCTATGGGAGCAATAAGGTAGCAGGAGCCTGAACAGATTCAGAAAAGAGAAGGTGGACTGGGAAAAAGTGGTGAAAGGCACATTTTAACCATGAAGGATTTGCTGATTTTAAAGAGAAGCTTTGGTTTAATTTAAAAAAATTATGCCCTCTAAGAAAGAATCCTATGTCAAACTACCTCATTTGTAGTAAGCCTGAAATTAAAACTGGAAAAGAGTGCTGGGAATAAAGCGAAGGAGTTTTTGTGGGCCGCCCAAACCAGAGGTGCTTGAACAATGTAAGTGCTTTTTCTCCCTTTATTCTCCAAATACAATGTGAAACCAGTTGGGAAGGGGCCTCATGCCTCTTTGTATCCAGGCATGGATACAAAAGAGAATACTTACAAAAGAGAATACGGTAAACGTTCAGTAGATGTTTAACTGCTTAATGGATAGAAGGGAGGGGGGGAGGAGGGGGGGGGGAGAGGAAGGAGGAGACCCAAGCTAGCATTCAAATTAGAGATGAAATTTTCAAAGTTTTTTTGGAAATTTGTGAAATGGGGAAGGCACTTGGGAGAGTTGCTATCTCCTGACGATTTATTTATTTATTTTTTTACAACGGTTTTAAATGAATGCTTAGTGTGTTTTAAATAATCTGGTTTTCTATTTAATTCATTTAGTCATCTATTTACCTATTTATCTATTCATATGCATTTCTTTCTATAAGTTTTCCAAAAAGTCACACTGAACACATGCTTGGGGCTTTCCTGTTTCCTTTTGCTGGCCTGACACTCATTCTAGTAAACCCAGCAAAACAGGTATTTGATTAGGAAGGATATTATTTTTCGAGCTTTCTTTTTTTTAAGTTTATTTATTTTTGAGGGACAGAGAATGCATGTGCATGGGTGTGCCCACACGAGTGGGGAAGGGACAGAGAGGACAGAGAGAGAATCCCAAGCAGGCTCTGAGATGTCAAAAGTCAGATGCTTAATAGACTGAGCTACCCCGGTACCTCTATTTTTTGAGCTTCAATTCTGGGAGTGAACACTACTGTTCACAACAGCTAAATAAATATACAGAGAAATGAAAATACGACCAGGCTAATTCAGGTATTCTGAATGCAGTGCCTTAAGCAATTAACTAATTCATTAATCGGACTCTTGATTCAACTGATTGTATTTTTGTTCGTATTTATTTACTTTTTAAAGTTTCTTTCTTTTGAGAGAAAGTGAGAGATGGTGTGCATGAGGGGGAATGGGAATGGCAGAGAGAGAGGGAGAGAGAGAATCCCAAGTCGGCTCTGTGCTGTCAGACCACAGCCCGATGCAGGGCTCGAACTCACAAACTGGGGGATCGTGACCTGAGCCGAAATCAAGAGCAGGACGCTCAACCGAATGAGCCACACAGGCGACCCCCTCAACTGATTGTATTTCGAGTTTATAAACTGTGTTTCATTTTTAAGGATGGTTTGGGTTTTCTCCTGTTGCTTACTTTAATGTGTAACCAGGGGTGTTTTTCTCTGAATACATAGATTCTTCTCCTAACCCCCTCCTGTTCCTTGAAATACTAAGAGGTTTTTTTTTCCTTTTTTCTAGTATGTCAATGATTTGTGTAATTACTGTTCAGTTGTTTTAATCCCAGACAAGAAGAGACGACTAAAGTTTCCATTTATGGAAAAATCGCTTTGACAGCTTAGAAAGCCCAACTGTTTTTGTAGGATTGTGATTAAATAGAGGAAGGAACTTCTAGAAAATAAAAGTTATTACACAAAGTTCTCCCAATGGGGGGCCTGAGTCCACAGCAGAAAGCTAGTTTTTGTTATTGCCTGGAAGGTGCTCCCTTCATTACTGTTCTGTTTAGTCAGCTGACCTTTCTTCCAGATACTCATTCTGTGAAAAACCCCCTGTTGTCCAAAGGCTGCATGATAAGACCTGGAACACTGATGGACATTGAGATTGGGATCCACACTACTACTTTGCAATGTGTCTACAAAGAGTTTTTCTCTGAGCCTTGGAAAGGAAATCTGCTACCCGAAACTATTTCTTCGAGAACCTGAGAGCCATCTCTTTGAAAGGCAGACATTCAGGGAGTTAGGGAGATAAGTCTCACTCTCCCAGTCCCTGTGGGAGGATAAGGGTCTAGCTTCAGTGGGGGCACCACCTTGCTTTAACATGTGCCACTGCCACCTGTCATAGAGATAGGAGAAGTTTATTTCTCTTCTAGATAAGCACTAAGAAACAAACCTTCACTCGGATTAACATCCGGATTAACACAGATTAACATCCGGATTAACACAGATTAACGGTCTTTCTGTTAGCACACCTTTAAAAAGTCTTCAGTCTTTTGTTTCGGGGAAGTTGAGTTCCTTGATGCCGGTCCCTCTTTTCTATTGTAACAGTGTTACTGAATGAAATCTGTCCTCACTGCCTTAATGAGCGTCCGGCTTCATTTCTCTTTGCCGTAGTTAGATGTCTCCTTTATTCTGCTTGCCTCAAAGTCTTGTAAGTGGATTGGGTAACTGTCTAGTGTCCAGTAATGATAAGTGTTTTCCCTACCTCATTAATTTGGGTATTTTGCATAATATCTCAGTCCCAGAATTCTCCATAAGCCATTACAGTGGTTTCTTCGTATCCTGGGGGATATATATGTTCCAAGATCCCCAGTGGATGCCTGAAGCCAAGGATAGTACTGAACCCTGTATATACCATTCTTTCCCCCTATATATACATACCTATAATAGAGGCCTTGTGACACAGGGTTAAGCTACTACTGACCTTCTGATGATACATCAGGAGAATCATCTGCTTCCTGACCACAGTTGACTGGGGGTGACTGAAACCATGGAAAACAAAACCACAGATAAGGGGGGACTATGTCCTTGGAATATAAGTGTTGAAAAAGATCATGAGTTAGGCAGCAAGAGTAGACTTTGGTTTGACTCTGCTTCAATATTTTTATTAGCTTCTGAAAACTGAGCAAAGGGCTAACATTTCTGTATGTCATTTTCTTCATTTGAAAGTAAAAAAAAAAAAAAAAAAGAAAGAAAAAAGAAAAGCATCCCATCCGGACTTGTTGGAACATTGAGATTGATGAAACATGGGCGATGGGTAGTGCCTAGTTCATAGTAATTGTTCAATAAATAATTACCACTTCGAATTATCAATCCCTAGCGAATCCTGAAGAGATTATTTTTTTCTCCCCTCTGTTGTTACAACAATTGCTCCTATGGCATCCTTTATATACCTATCTGCAGGTTTCCTCTATTAGGCAGTGAGCTGGTTCTTCTTTTTCTTCTTCTTCTTCTTCATATGAAGGGCACTATGCTTTTTAAATTAAATTTAATTAATTAATTAATTAATTTTAGAGAGAGATTGTTCTCGCACATGAGTGGGGGAGGGGTGGATGGAGAGAAAGAGACGTGGAATCCAGGGAGAAAGAATCCCAAGGAGGCTCCACTCTCTCAGCACGGAGCCCCATGTGGGGCTCAATCCCACAGCCCAGGGATCATGCCCTGAGCCAAAATCGAGAGCAGATGCTCAACGAGTTGAGCCACTCAGGTGCCCCAGGCAATGAGCTTCTTCACATTAATCCTCTATCCTTGTATCCCCAGCTCCTGCCAGTTGAAAAGTTGCACATTTGATAAATGCTTAGTGAATGAGCAAACACATGAATAAATGAATGCATGTATGAATTTGCATTTCGTTTTTCTTATATTTGACCTGAAACAAAGATCTATCTATTGTGTTGCGTTGTCATTTTCTTAAGAGTCATCAAGAAACAGAAACTAAAGGTACAAATGGGAACTCAACACAGCATAGTTTTCATTCCCTGCCTTTGACTATCTGATTGGACTATTCAAGCTCAACCTGTTAAAACTCAGTAAGTGCCTATCCCACATGATTTGACTCATACATCCTCTTTTGTCCGCAGGCAGTTGTCTTAAGAAAAGAGGAAGGAGCTCTCAAATGCTGTGTCAATTCAGGGACTCAGTAGAACAATGGAATACCGTTCTGAGGTAGAAAATTTGGATGAAGATGGTTATACTCGTTTAGACTTCGGCTCTCAAGGCGTCACTGGGAGACATGCGGTCTTAGAGAAAGGTATTTTTTCTTTCTGCCTTCAACATTCTTGTTGTCATCAACTAAAACACTTACGTGGGGAAAATTTGAAAGATTTGTGATTTGTAGGAGGAAAACCTTTTAAAAGGTTCTCAGACATCACTGAGGATATTTGAAAGTGTACTAAGCCTTTCCTCATGGCAAATATTAGGTGACTAATTATTAGTATTTAAAATAATTATTATGATGACAGAAAATACCTACAATTTCTCCGTTCTGTAGAAATAGACACTTCGGCACTAAGGAACTGTACATAAGTGTGATGAATGCAAAGATGAAGAAATTTTAGTGGGAGTGTCTTGTTGCTTGATTGGCAGAAAGGCGTAAATTGTAGAATGGAGGTCATGGAAACTTCGAGAAGTATATGTCAACAACATCAGAATATTGAAGATAAGAAAGAGAAGAATAAAAAGATGGAAGATAGACAAGAAAAAAATCCAAATATGTGATTTAGTGGTAAAGGCAAGTTGGAAGTCATAGGGTTTGGAATCATGAATCTGATGTGGTTTTTTGTGACAAGAAATTGATGTGGATTTTTTTTTTATCAAAAGTGGGGGGTCTTTGTATACTAGCGTTAGAAAATGCGTGTTAGATGAAAATGTGTGTTAGATGAAAATGTGTGTTAGATGAAAAGATCCTATGAACAGGATATGAGTGTTAGACGTAATATAAAAAGAGTGAAAATGGTGAAAGACATTGAAAAAATCTCTCTCTTCACAGAATGAACCATTTAGTGTCCTCTATGGTTCTCCTATTATACAATTCTCTGAAACACTTAGACTGCTTATTCTCAGTCAAAGGCAGAGCTATAGTCTTTGTTGCAGTGCATTAACATAAAATAAGTTTCCTGTTATCAAGAGACGATTTTTGTCACAAGTTTTGACATGAGCATTTGCACTCCTCTGCTTTCTGGTCATTCACCTTGCTCATTTGCCCTTTACCACTTATGCAATTCTTTTCTTGCTCAACTGGTTTAAGAGGAGTGGCAAACTGGGTGATGTAAGAGGTAGGGAGTCAGGTACAAGTTTCTACGTATTTGTTGACAAACAGTGAGTTATGTATAATGACCTAGTAATCTCTGGACGAGATGCTTTTATGTGCTAGCCCATTTAGTTCCCACCATGATCCTCTGAGGTATTATTACCCAATTTTTCACAAAGAGAAATGAATAAGCAGAGGCAGTAATTCACCCAAGGTTATTCAATGAATAACTGAAAAGAGAAGGTTGCCCTAAGGGACCCATGCTATTTCCCCACATTAAGCTGTTTTTTATAAAAATGAGTGGGATTTCAAGGGCGTCTGGCGGGGGCTCAGTCGGTTAAGCGTCCAACTTTGGCTCAGGTGAAGATCTCGCCGTTGGTGGGTTCGAGCCCCGCGTCCAGCTCTGTGCTGACAGCTCAGAGCCTGGAGCCTGCTTCGGATTCTGTGTCTCCCCCTCTCTCTGACCCTCCCCTGCTCATGCTCTGTCTCTCTCTCTCTCTCTCTCAAAAATAAATAAACATTAAAAAAACTTAAAAGAAAATGAGTGGGATTTCAAAAATCCCGATAGTGTCAGGACCTATAGACGTCAATGTGAAACTAAAATTAGGAGTGTACAGATGTCAGGGCATGTGCTGAAATTACAGTGCTGGCATCTGAAGAGGTATGATAAAGGAGAGAGAAAATTCAGATAATCCTAGATGCCTAGATTATTTGCGTATAATGGTTCACATCAGAATGTGCCAGATTTTGATGAACTGTAGAACTGAAGTGCTGTGTGATTCACCCTACTTCTTCATTTAATTTCTGTTCCTTCTGGCTTCCTAGGAACTTGTGCTACGTCTCCTTATTGGCGTCCCATTGCCGTGACCTTGGGAATCCTATGCTTGGTAATACTGGTGACAGCTGTGGTCCTGGGTACCACGGGTAAGGATTTGGGGGGGGGGGACGGGGGGGAGAAATTAACAACAACGACGACAACAACAACAGACATTTGATAAGCATGTATACTGTGCCAGACACACTTTTAAGAGCTTGACATGCATAATCTAATGTAATCTGTATATTACCACGTGCTGTCTCTCTCTCAAAAATAAATAAACATTAAAGAATTTTTAAAGGGGCGCCTGGGTGGCGCAGTCGGTTAAGCGTCCGACTTCAGCCAGGTCACGATCTCGCGGTCTGCGAGTTCGAGCCCCGCGTCGGGCTCTGGGCTGATGGCTCGGAGCCTGGAGCCTGTTTCTGATTCTGTGTCTCCCTCTCTCTCTGCCCCTCCCCCGTTCATGCTCTGTCTCTCTCTATCCCAAAAATAAATAAACGTTGGAAAAAAAATTTTTTTAAAAAAATTTTAAAAAGAGACTATAACTATTTTTATGAATCTTATGATTTAAGGAAATTGTTTTGTACCTGATCTTTAATCTAAGTTCCCTTGAATAATATCAGGAATTACCTGAGGCACTTACCAAACAGACATTCTGTGATGGGTGAATGAGTTCTTTTAGATTTTATATCTCACAAATTCTATTGTCAATAACGTATTATTGTGCCTTTGGGGTTTTTTCAAGGAGCTCTCATTTTTAAATAACAGAAAAAGGATAGATTAATTACTATGTCAAATCTGTCATGCTCCAATTGACTCTATTTCATTTGCCTCTTGCTTTCTCTTCCATACTTGTTTGATTTTTTTTCTCGTTTTTACTACGCCTTCATGGAAGTTATTTTTTTTCTTTCCATCTATTTAATCTATCTATCATCTATTTTATTATCTATCATCTATTTATTTATCTATCATCTATCATCACTATCTATCTATTATCTATTATCTATCTATCTTGATCTCTCAATCAGCAATGTGTTCTCTATTTATCATGAATCAAGAATATATCCCTTTGTGTTCCAACAAAAATATGGGTTTGGGAATCATAATTGCAAATATAGTAGAATGACTTTTTTTTTTTCTGTCACTATAATTGTTGTTGGTATATGAAGCTATTTGGAGACCCAATTCAGAGAGCAACCCATTGAAGAATGACAACTTTCCATCAAGGAATAGAGAGAACTACAGTCAACCCACACAATCATCTTTAGAAGACAGTGTGGCTCCTACCAAGGCTCTCACAACCACAGGCAAGGGCAGAGTTAAAAGATGAGTGGAATCCTTAATCCAGAAAGGTCAATTATTGGTGCTAAGACCTGGAGTAGGGTGGGTATAGAGAGCACTTTTACATGCAGGGATTGTGCATTCAGGGAAAGCACATATCAGTATTATCTCACAATAGTATGCCCCTATCATATATATAATAAAGTGATATAAATATCCCATGCTTTTGGCCAGACATTGCTAAGTTGGATTTTTTTTGAAATCAGTAACTAATTGATCACTTTCTATGTATTTCGATCTATAGATGATGGTATAACTTGATGCAAAGGAAAGAAATGTGTTCTCTCCTCTTTCAGAATGGACATTTAAAAATTTTTTTTTAACTTTTTTTTAATGTTTATTTATTTTTGAGACAGAGAGAGACAGAGCATGAACGGGGGAGGGTCAGAGAGAGAGGGAGACACAGAATCGGAAACAGGCTCCAGGCTCTGAGCCGTCAGCCCAGAGCCCGACGCGGGGCTCGAACTCACAGACCGCGAGATCGTGACCTGAGCCGAAGTCGGCCGCTTAACCGACTGCACCACCCCGGCGCCCCCAGAATTGACATTTTAAAGGAATGTCTCATTAGAATAGGAAACAGGATGTCAGGAAGAAAGGCAGAGAAAAAGGAAAGAAAGGAAAATGTGCTAAGAATGAAGAGGCTAAATTGAGCACATGCCAAAAAGATAGACCTGATAGATATGTTCTTGAAAACTCCGGTTATATTTGTTTTTCTTTAATCATACAATTTCATTAATTTTATTACAGTTTGATATGCACTTTACCCTTATTTCTAATTGCATCATAATTGACTGTGACAATATTTTGACTTCAGTTTTCCATTTCTGGACCCATATCTTCTCACTATTTGCATCACGTAGCTAATGATACAAAACAGAGATATTCTATAATATGAATCATTGCTTTTATACTTTTCTGCTTTGGAAAGCTGTATTGTTAATTGGATCTCACACCTCTAAAAGAAGTTAACGTGAAATTACTGTATATCTCAAAGATTGATTTAAGTTGATTTGTTTTAAGAATTATCATGAAGAAAGGGGGGTCTGGACTGAATTTGAAAGAATAGAATACAAATCAGAAGGGAAAAGAGGACTGACTGTTTAAAACACTGTTTATAATTATTCAATTTATATTTAAAGTTTAAATGAATGGAGGATTTTATTACGGTCTCTTATCTAAAAATTGTATCCCTATTGAGGTGATTGGGTGGCTCAGTTAAGCATCCAACTCTTGATCTCAACTCAGGTCATGATCTCACGGTTTATAAGATAGAACCTCTCATCAGGCCCTGTGCTGACAGTGCGGAGCCTGCTTGGGATTCTCTCTCTCTCGCTCTCTCTCTCTGCCTCTCTGTCTCTGTCTTTCAAAATAAATAAACAAACTTGCAAAACTCATAGCCCTATAGTTTGAACTGAAAATGAAATATATCACTGGCAATTCATTGATTATTAAGCGTCCACGGGATGAATGGTCGCTTGCACTGAAAGAGTAAATTGGTATGATATGAATGTCATTGTATTTACTTTTTATTTCCAGGAGTTTTTTCCAACTCTTGTCCTCCTAACTGGATCATACATGAGAACAACTGCTATCTATTTAGGACATCATTAGCTTCCTGGAATAGCAGTAAAAAACAATGCTCTCAACTGCACTCTAATCTCCTGAAGATAGACAGTGAAAAAGAACTGGTAAGTGTAGACTTCAGTTGTAATTATCTGTGGTCTCTACTGAGCAGAAAAATAAAGGTAGATTCCAGATAATGATAATTTTCCCTAAAAGAAAGTCACTTTTCATATCCTCCATAATTATAATAATAGCATGTATTAAATGGGTAAAATATATAGTATGTTTATTTATTATTTTATACATATATATATATAGAGAGAGAGAGAGAGAACAAGCATGGGACAGGGACAGAGGGAGAGAGAAAATCTTTAAAAAAAATTTTTTTTAATGTTTATTTATTTTTGAGAGAGAGTCAGAGCATGAGCAGGGGAGGGGAAGAGAGAGAGGGAGACACAGAATCAGAAGCAGGCTCCAGGCTCTGAGCTGTCAGCACAGAGCCCGACATGGGGTTCCAACCCACGAACCGTGTGATCACGACCCGAGCTGAAGTCGGACGCTCAAACAACTGAGCCACCCACGTGCCCCGAGAGAGAAAATCTTAAACAGACTCCATGCTCAGCCCAACACGGGCTCGATCCCACAACCCTGGGATCATGACCGGAGACAAAATCAAGAGGCAGACAGACAACCAACTGAGCCACCCAAGAGCTCCTATGTGCTTTTTAAAATTAATTAATTCTAAAAGTAAATACGTTTCACTTTAAAACAAATCTGTTCAGGGGCGCCTGGGTGGCGCAGTCGGTTAAGCGTCCGACTTCAGCCAGGTCACGATCTCGCACTCCGTGAGTTCGAGCCCCGCGTCAGGCTCTGGGCTGATGGCTCAGAGCCTGGAGCCTGTTTCCGATTCTGTGTCTCCCTCTCTCTCTGCCCCTCCCTCGTTCATGCTCTGTCTCTCTCTGTCCCAAAAATAAATAAACGTTGAAAAAAAAAATAAAAAAAAAAAAAAAAAACAAATCTGTTCAAACACACTCCAAGTTTGCCTGAGTGTAATAATCAGACCACTCCTCATTTTTTGTGGGTTTGGGTTTCAATTCTTCAAGTTGGTGGAGTAAAATAGAAAATGCCCTCCCTTGTCAGCATTATTATCAAGGAAAAATAGCAGTAATAATAATACACATTTATAAATCATTTACTCCTTGAAATATCCTGGGAAAGGCAAAGAGGTTTAAAAAGTAACCTTGCAAGTTCAATGCTTACATAGTTTGTAAGAAGAAAGTAACAACTCAACAGCTGCTAAGAGCTAAATATCTCCTATTGGCAATAGATGACATAGGAATTCAGAGACATGCCAGTGTAGGTAAAGTTTTACAGAAAAAGTGGGACTTAAAATGCATCATGAATGAAGGGTAGGACTCAGTTGGGCTATGAGTAGGAATTAACAGTCAGGAAACACTCCATACATCTAAACAATCCAGAACTTCTACCTTTGCTTTCGCTTCCTCTCAATTTTTGTGTCTCTGTCCCACATCACCTAACGGTTGTAGTTCACATGAAAATTAATGGAAGTAGATTATGGCAAGGAAGGAGAAGGACACTGGAAGTTGGTCGGGCTCATAGATGTTTCTCTCATTTGTCAACAATTCAAATGTCGTCATTAAAACTCAAATATCTGGGGCGCCTGGGTGGCTCAGTCGGTTGGACGTCCGACTTCGGCTCAGGTCATGATCTCACGGTCCTTGAGTTCGAGCCCCGCGTTGGGCTCTGTGCTGACAGCTCAGAGCCTGGAGCCTGTTGCAGATTCTGTGTCTCCCTCTCTCTGACCCTCCCCCGTTCATGCTCTGTCTCTCTCTGTCTCAAAAATAAATAAACGTTAAAAAAAATTAAAAAAAAAACACCTCAAATTACTTATTCATAAAACACACCGTGGAACTAAATTATTTTTATAGGTTTTTTTTTTAAATCTAACTCTGCAGAGCATTTCTTGACAAAAATCATATCAGTTCATATAGTCAATCTGAGGAGAAGATAGTGGCTTGTCATCCATGAAAATTGCAGAAGGGTTCTGTCATCTTTGGATTTTGTTGGGCAAGTTGGAAGGAGGCTGTACGATTTTGACGTTACGGATCTGTTCTTCATTGGAAAATTAAACAATAACGACTCTGAAGGAGTGAAATATGCTTCTGGAAACACCCAATGGCATTCAATGGTTGGCACTTTTCTCTAGGTTGATGCCAGCCTGTGCATGCATTCTTTATCAAAGCGATTCAATCTGCTGTCTCTATTTCAATGTCTGTAACAGTTTTTCCCCATCTATTTTGTCTATCATCTCTGTCTATTCATTCTCTCTACCACTCTTGGACATGCGTTTGTGTTTATGTTTTCCTACAGGAATTCATAATGAAGCAAGCGTCTTCTCAACCCGATAATTCCTTTTGGATAGGGCTTTCTCGCCGTCAAACTGAAGGACCGTGGCTCTGGGAGGACGGCTCGAGATTCTCTTCTGACTTGTAAGTAACTGGAAAGACAAAGCTTCATGCCCTTTCTCAGAAAGCTAAGAGCATGCCAACCAGTTAAGAATCTGATTTGTGGGCCATTGATAAGAAAGAGAGGCAGAAAGAAAAATGATAGCGAGAGACAACCAGTGAATCAGGAAAAAGAAAAAAGAAAGAAAAGAAGACGGTAGAGGAGGACTTTACAGTCAAAAAGAGTTGAGTGGTCATCTAGTGTTACTAACACAAACGTGCCTCAGCTTTCTTATGAGGAGGGCATTTGCACATGTCGGCAGCTGTCCAGTTAGGGGGAGCTGTCACTGTTAGTATAAAACTCTGGCTACGAGCATGGGCTTTGGAGTTGGCTCTCAGCTTGAGCCAACGCTTGGTCCGCTCACTGTGTGAAATTAGGTAAGTTGCTTAACCCACCTGAGCCCCTTTCTCCTCATCTATAAATGAGAATGAAAATAGTACCTACCTGGTGGGCTTTTAAGGTAAAGAAAGGAGATGAAAGTAACATCACTTAGCACAGTGTCCCGTGTCTAGTAAACACGTGTGCCGCCTGCTGTTATCCTTAATTGTAAAAGGATTTTACATTTTACAGCGTTCTTTGACACATAGTTTACACTTGCTTAGTTATAAGTTCTTCCTTGTTGTGTGTGTATCAGCCAGAATTCTTTAGAAAAAGATCTATGTAGATCACCTGTTGGTTCTGAAGAACCCTGACTGATACACGTGACATTGAGGAATAATTTATCCATGGAGATTTACTATCAGGAATCGGCTCATGTGATTAGGGAGACCGACAAGTCCCACAGTCTGACATCTGCAAGCAGGGGACCCAGGAGAGCCTGTGGTCATAAATTCCGTTCAGGTATGGAAGGCTGCTAACAAGGGGAGCTGATGGTATAAAACCTAGTACTTGGGTAGAGACGAGCTACCCTGAGATGTCTCAGTTCACACGGTGAGGCAAGAAAAGGCAAACTCTTCTTCAGTAGGCTTCTTTGTTCTATTTCAGCCCTCAGTGGATTGGATGATGCCCACCCGTATTGGGGTCTGCGATCTGCTTTCATGTATCCACGGATTCAAACGCTAATTTCACCCGGAACCACTTCCACAGATATAATTAGAAATAATGTTAATTTGGGTGTGGCCAGTCAAGTTAATGCAAAAAATTAACTATCACAAAGTGCTGAGGTCTTCTTCACTGTAATTGTCAGTTAGTTTCTTTGTCATATCTGAAGAATATGGAATTATATTTCCCTTTTCAGTTTCTATGATTAGTGTGTGTGTGTGTGTGTGTGTGTGTGAGTGTGTGTATAAGAGAGAGAGAGAGAGAGAGCGAGCCTGTTTGTTTTCCCATTATTTTCAGGTGTCTTTTCCAATTCAATTTCTCTTTTCAAAGAAAGAAATTTCGGCTTTGTTGATTCCTCTGTGCCTTTAAAAAAATTTCTTTTTAAAATTTTTTTTTTAATTTTTTTTTTAATGTTTATTTATTTTTGACACAGACAGAGACAGAGCATGAACGGGGGAGGGTCAGAGAGAGGGAGACACAGAATCTGAAGCAGGCTCCAGGCTCTGAGCTGTCAGCACAGAGCCCGACACAGGGCTCAAACCCACAAACCACGAGATCATGACCTGAGCCAAAGTCGACCGCTTAACCGACTGAGCCACCCAGGCGCCCCTAAAAAAAATTTCTTTTATTAATTTCAGTTCTCATCTTTACCACTTCTTTCCATTCAGTTTCTTTGTGTTGAATTTCTCTTCTGTCTCTAATTTCTCATATGAATGCTTGACTTATGACATTCCTCTTTCTTTTTCTCAAATATGTGCATTTAAGGCTATAATTTAATGTATTTTATTGTCATTTAGTTCAAATACTTTCTAATTTCCACGCCGAGTCCATAGGTCTGTAGGTCCGTAGACTTAGAAATGCATTTCTTAATTTATAAATACCTGTGTGTTTCTTTTTTTTTTAAATTTTTTTTTCAACGTTTATTTATTTTTTGGGGGACAGAGAGAGGTAGAGCATGAATGGGGGAGGGGAAGAGAGAGAGAGAGGGAGACACAGAATCGGAAACAGTCTCCAGGCTCTGAGCCATCAGCCCAGAGCCTGACGCGGGGCTCGAATTCCCGGACCGCGAGATCGTGACCTGGCTGAAGTCGGACGCTTAACGACTACGCCACCCAGGCGCCCCTACCTGTGTGTTTCTATAATTATCCCTTTGCTTTGGGTTGCAGCTTAATTCCATTATGGTCAGAGAACATACTCTGTGTGATTGCAATTCTCAGGTTTTTATCTTTTATCTTCTTTCCCTACGGAGAGAAGTATATTAAAGTCTCCCATTGTGATTCTACTTACCATTCTGTAACCATTTTAGTTGATGCGCCGAAGCTGTATTATTAGGCACATTTAAATTTAGAATTTTTATACTGTACAAGTGTATGGTCCATCCTATGAATTTTTTCTTTTCTTTCTCTCCTCTTTTTGAATTGTTTAATATTATTATTACTCCATTTTTCTTTGATTTTTTAAAAATGTTTATTTGTTTTTGAGAGAGCGAGCGAGAGAGAGAGAGAGAGAGACCATGAGCAGGGGAGGTCAGTGAGAGGAGGGGGCCAGAGGATCCAAAACAGCTCTGTGCTGACACAAGCAAGCCCGATGTAGGGTTCAGACTCATGCACGGTGAGATCATGACCATGGATCCAAAGTCAGGGCCTAAGTCAGAGGCTCAACCACTAAGCCAGCCAGGCATACCCTACCCCATTTTTTCTTATAATAATTTAGAATTTACTCTGTCACTAATTTTTTAGTAGTTGTTCTAAAGATTACAACAAATATCCTTCACTCATCAAAGTCTGATATTAATTGTTTGGTTTATTTTAAATGTTTGTGTGTGTGTGTGTGTGTGAGAGAGAGAGAGAGAGAGAGAGAGAGAGAGAGATTGAGAGTAAGCAGGGGTGAGGGGCAGAGAGAAAGAGAGAATTACAAGCAGGTTCCATGCCATCAGCACAGACCCTGACACGGGGCTCTATCCCATGACCCTGAGATCATGACCCGAGCCAAAATCAAGAGTCAGAAGCTCAACCGACTTGAGCCACCCAGGTGCCCCAAATCTTAATTGTTTTTTAATGTTATTCCCTGGCTATATAAAAAATATTAGAATATTACTTTACTCTGTGTACTCTCTCCTCAATTTACATGCTATTATTTTTGTGGAGTTTATTTAATGCTCTCACATCTTTTTCCACATTTTAATATCTCAGCAATTGGCACCTGTCTTACAAATGCTGTCCTTTTATAATCACTGTAGGTCTCAGCTGAAGTTAAAGTCTGTCAAGGATTAGCATTTGTTTCTGCCAGTCAGAGAGAGGCACCACAAACGTGAGATTACTCAAACACTCTACTTGGTTTTTCGTTTTGTTTTGTTCTGTTTTGTTTTTTTAAACTACACTGGTATTACGGATTCAGATAGAACTATGTAAGTGCCAGTTACTTCTGGGGCAACTTCTTGGGGAATATAATTTTTTCTTCCCATCTTCCACCTGGTGGCGAGACTGAGACATGCACTTCTGACAGTCTTCTGTGCAGTATTTTAATTTTCATAGACTTATGCACCGAATGAGTCCTTTGTTTTCCAGTTTCTGCAGGGTTTTCTATTAAATTCCCATAAATAAATAAAATGGATTTATTTCACAGTATTAGGTCAATACATGGCCTATCAACAATTGATGACCCTCTTGGATTCAATAAAAAAATATAGCCTTAACAAACAGTAGATTTATATAGTTATCTCCTCTAGATTTTTCCACATATTTATGGTTTGTAATGCTTTTTATTTTCTTCTGCCTCTCCTACCAACCATTTTTCTTACCCTGAAGAATACTCCCTGATTCCTTTTAGAGTGGAAATTTGAGAGTTTAATTCTCCGTGTTTGTCTAAACCCGTTTCTATTTCAATTTTTCCAAAAAATATTTTCTTTAAGCATAACATTGAAAATTTGTTGTTTGTTTCTCTTGGCCATTCAAAGATATTGCCATGCTTTTCTATTTTTTTTTTTTTTGGTTTGGTGTTTTGAAAGGTCATCTAGTTGAAGGTTAACGTATGTTTAAAATTTTTTTTTTCTCTTTTTTTTCAACGTTTATTTTTTTCTTTTTGGGACAGAGAGAGACAGAGCATGAACGGGGGAGGGGCAGAGAGAGAGGGAGACACAGAATCGGAAACAGGCTCCAGGCTCTGAGCTGTCAGCCCAGAGCCCGACGCGGGGCTCGAACTCACGGACCGTGAGATCGTGACCTGGCTGAAGTCGGACGCTTAGACGCAGGGCTCGAACTCACGGACCGCGAGATCGTGACCTGGCTGAAGTCGGACGCTTAACCGACTGCGCCACCCAGGCGTCCCGGTTAAGGTATGTTTAATATCTGATGTCTTCTCAGCTTTGGAAAATTCTCAGCCATACTTGCTTGAAATGTTGCTTCTTCCCTTTCTCTGGGATTCCAGTTATATACATTATAGACCCATTCTCAATATTCTGTATGTCTTCTCTGCTTCTTCCTGGATCTTTCAGCCTTTTTTTTAAATTTTTTTTTAAATTTTTTTTTTTAACGTTTATTTATTTTTGAGACAGAGGGAGACAGAGCATGAATGGGGGAGGGTCAGAGAGAGGGAGACACAGAATCTGAAACAGGCTCCAGGCTCTGAGTGGTCAGCACAGAGCCCGACGCGGGGCTCGAACTCACGGAGTGTGAGATCGTGACCTGAGCCGAAGTCGGCCGCTTAACCGACTGAGCCACCCAGGCGCCCCTCAGCCTTTTTTTTTTCTTTAGATATTTATTTCTCATGTATCTTTGAGTTCACTAGTTTTTTTTTCCCCCCATCTATGGCTAATCTGGTGTTAAAAACCTCCATTAGTTTTTTAATTTTGTGTCGTGAATTTCTCAGTTCTATGATTTCAGTTTGGCTCTTTCTCAAATCTAGTCTGTCACTATTTATAATTCCTGGCTTTCTTCCACGAGGCCTAAATCAAGGCTGTTTCCTGCTTTAGCCTAGTCATTTCTACAAAAGAATTCTCTCAATCCTCCAGCCTCAGGGCCAAGAAGAGATAGATACACAAGATGAAGAGTACCAGTCTGTAGCTGTTGTGGTGAGGCTCAGTGATGCCCTTCAAGCTTGACTGATAAACGCCGCCCTTTCAGGAGAACCCTTCTATTTCAGCAAAGGGAACAGGGCCATACACCGACTTACCATGATAATTCTCATAATTGTCTATCATGGTATTGTAATACAACTCTGTCTTCAGAAAGAATTAAAATATATAATGCGGTTTTCCCTGCCTTTAAATGGGCTCGATATCTATGATTCTTCATTAGTGCTAGGTATTTCTCAATAATAGCTCCTCTGATTGGTCTGTTCACTAAATACACCCAAAGATAATTTCACTAGCCTGTTGTTTCATTTGATAAATATATTTCTAGGTGAGAGGTTGAAAGAGCAACAAAGAACTTTCTATGGAATACCGAGTGATGTTTCTTATTTGTCAGGAGCTTTATTTCATTTTATGTAACAGTGTTTTTCTTAAAAAATTTTTTTGAGTCATTTTTATGCGTTAATAATGAAGCCTATCCCGTTACCATTTGAAAACTAATGCAATCTAAATTCAAATTTCCTTTTGCAATAACATGGACACTTCAGAAACTCTTCACAAGATCCTTGCCGATTTCGTTCAGCGTTCTATAGACAGTAGACAGTGTTTCTTACGTTCTTTCTCATCACCTCTTTGTATTCTAACAGGTTTCAGATCAGAAGCACAGAAATTCAAGAAAACTCATCTCACGATTGCGTGTGGATTCACCTGTCAATAATTTATGACCAACTTTGTAGTTTGCCTTCATACAGTATTTGTGAGAAGAAGTTGTCAATACAATGACGAGGCTGTTGATGGAAAGAACAGAGAGAAGTATGCAACAGCCAAAAGGGCTAAAAACAAAACGGGAAAGAAAGATACCGGAGGTCAGAATAAATGCTAAAAATAATCAAGAGAGCTTAGCCAACTTCAGTCTTAGCTGAGAAACGGTATGGAGAGGCTGTGATGCTGTACTTTTCAACTGTTTTGGCAGACCAGCCTTACGTTCTAGTTAACAGAGCCCTACAGGTGGAGTAGGGACAAGCTGAACTTCTAGCTCCATTCTACCATTGACTTAGTATTAACCTGGAGTTAACCACATATCCGTGGTGTTTCAAAAGGCTCTTTATTTCTGGGCCGACCAGACTCATTTTTTTTTGGTCCTTAAAATGTGCCCCTGGAGTACATGTGGTGTGTTCCCATGATGCTTCCCTCCACTTCTAGCAGTTTACCAGACACAGGTGGAAGGCAAAATGTATTTCTGAACAGCTGAATGAAGAAATGAGAAAGAACGTCTTCACTACAATCAGAGCTATTCCATCATCTTGTTCATCAATATGGTCACGGTTATGATCAAAAGCATCATGAGGGGCACCTGGGTGGATCAGTCGGTTGAGCGCCCAGCTGCAGCTCAGGTCATGATCTGACAGTTGGTGGGTTCAAGCTCCATGTCAGGCTTTGTGCTGACAGCTCAGAGCCTAAAGCCTGCTTCGGATCCTGTGTCTCCCTTTCTATCGGCGCCTCTCCTACTTGCGCTATGTCTCTCTCTCTCTCTCTCTCTCTCTCTCTCTCTCAAAAATAAATAAACATTAAAAAAAAATCCTTTAAAAAATTTTTCCTGTCCCTGGGGCACGTGGGTGGCTCAGTCGGTTAAGCATCGGACTTCCGCTCAGGTCATGATCTCACAGCTCATGAGTTCGAGCCCCACATTGGGCTCTGTGCTGACAGCTCAGAGCCTGGAGCCTGCTTTGAATTCTGTGTCTCCTTCTCTTTCTGCTCCTCCCCCACTTGTGCTCTGTCTCCTCTCTCAAAAGTAAATAAAAATGTAACAAAAAAAATTGTTTAAAAAAAGCATGAAAAAGCAGCAACTCAATCTTATTTATTTATTTTTTCATATAAATAGCTCAGAGAGTACGTCTGCCACATTTCTGACTAATAAGATTTTGTATAATGTGAAGTTGTATGGGAACTGCTCTTACAAGAAAGCTTTCTCCTTTTTAAATACTATCAATCAAAAAGGATCTGGTAATGAATATAGAAAAAAACAATCCCATTGCTGTGGTGTTAACATTCTGGAAGGCAAAACGTGTCGTACAATTTTTGATGATTAACATTTGGAAGTTTTTAGCACTTCTCAATAATGCCTGTAAAAAGGTATTATTGGAACATGTTTCCTCATATGAGGATTTGTCTCTTTTTTTTTTTCTCTTACATTTTCCTGTTGGTGCTATTTTTACTCCCAAAAGGGTCTTCCTTTTATTAACGGAGAGGGAGTTACAACCTTCCCGTGGTTATTAACAAGTGAACAGAAATCATGCCAAGTTACTGGATTTTTCACTTTAAAATGTGTAATTGTATGCTATGTGAATCACTGTAATCAAAAATGTTAAAGAAACTTCTGGCCTCCAAATGCTGTGTGTAATAAACACTATCGCAATACGCCCTCTCCCCATTGGAAGATGATAATGATTCTGGCACTGGGGAGAAGGTAGTAGAGTCATTTTAGACTGAAGAATAAATTTGGGTTCTCAAGTATTTAAAAATCTAAGAGAAGACGCTAGAGATTTTTGGTGAAATTTCCTCATGCCTTTTATTTTATTTTATTTTTAATTTTTTTTCAATACTTATTTTTGAGACAGAGACAGAGTGTGAACAGGGGAGGGGCAGAGAGAGAGGGAGACACAGAATCCAAAGCAGGCTCCAGGCTCTGAGCCATCAGCACAGAGCCCGACGCGGGGTTCGAACCCACCAACCGCGAGATCATGACCTGAGCCGTCCCTCCTCGTGCCCTTTAATAGGCAAGCTTGTGTATTGTCACACATACCAAAAGAAATGTGGCAAGGGCAAAGTTAATTCAGGTTAAGAGTTAAATTAAGGCAGAAGGTGAGATTTTGAAGATTTTTGTATTTTAGTTTTGCTTTTGGCTTGATCCGAGCCTACTGAGTCCCAAGGACAGAGTGAATGATTTGAGGAAATCATAATCATCAAGAAAAATAATTCTGGGTGCTGAATGTCCAGCTGTACTTACAACAGACAGGTTAGGCAATGATAAGCTGTGATTTAAAGATAAAAGTGTGACTGTGACACAACTTTGGCATACAGTAAGATAGCTCTAGGCTTTCCAAAGCATACTATACCTGACTCATCAATACATGGTTATACCACAGTTTATGTGGACACGGACGTTGGAATGAACAGAAAACATGAACCTGTTGCAAGAGACAGAAAAGGGAGGATGGCTGCTAACTGAACTTAGTTCCAAAGGGTAAATTCAAGGTGGGTAATGATCATACTAGAGGAAACACTTTCCTGTTCGACGACCACCATCTTCTCTGGCCTGAGGCACTGCAGTAATTTTCGGAGTAATCTCCCAGTGTCCACCCTTGCCCTTCTAAGGTCTTTTGCCAACATGGCAGAGTGATTCTTCTAAACTGAAAACAAATCATGTCAAGCCTCTGCTAAAATTCACCTCACTTCCCACGTATCTCAGAGTAAAAATAAATATAGGTAAATCAAAACAAAAAAGAAAAGACCTTTTCAATGGTCTGTGAGACAATTACCGTGGGCCACTTTACTTCTTTGACCTAATCTACTTTTCCCCTCTTCATTTATTCCATCTAGGACACTGGTTTCTCTCTTGTTCATAATAACTGGCATGCTTCGAGCTTTCTGTTCCCTTAACCTGAATGATTCTTACCCTAGATAATCTGCAGGATGCACTCTTTCACTTCTTTCAAGGCTCTGCACAAATATCACTTTCTTAATGAGGCTGACGTCAACTGCCTAATTTAAAATTACCAACCCTCCAGGAGCCTGGGTGACTCTGTTGGGTTAAGCATCTGACTCTTGATCTCAGCTCAGGTCATGATCTCGTGGTTTGTGAGATCGAGCCCCACATCGGGCTCTGTGCTGACAGGGCAGAGCCTGCTAGGGATTCTCTCTCCCTCTCTCTCTCTCTCAAATAAATAAGTATATAAATAAATAAATAAATAAATAAATAAATAAATAAATAAATAAAATTATCAACCCTCCTTTTTGTATATTCTCAATCTCCCTTACCTTCCAACATATTTTCATAAGTCTTGTCCTAGTCTAATATGCTCTATTATTTGCTTACTGTCTTTCTTGTATATCCTCTGCCTTCCTCCTAGAACATAGGCTTCAAAGGGCAGAGCGTTTTGTTTTACAAAACTAGAATCTGAGACTAGCACCTGAATTAAAGTAGGTGTTCAAAAGATATTTTTGTCATTGTTGAAAAAAAAGTAAATGTTCAAGGACAGGTAGGAGAAATGGTAATGTAGGTTTTGTGGCGAAAAGTATCAAGAATCTACTTGAATCAGTGAATGGAGAAGAGTTTGAATTGATATTTCAGGAAAATCATAATTATTAACACCTTCTAACTTTATTTTTTTCAGGCCCCAGCTGTTGCAGTTTCTAATATTTGATCTTCCTGCTTCTTTCTACTGTGTGCTTCACTTATCTCTCCTTTCAAGTTTTATTTAAATTAAATTAAATTAAATTAAATTAAATTATTTAAAAAGTTTATCCATTTATTTATTTTGAGAGAGAGAGAGCATGAGCAAGGAAGGGGCGGAGGGGGGGGAGAGAGAGAGAGAGAGAGAGAGAGAGAGAATCCCAAGTAGGATCTTCACTGTCAGCAGTGTCCACTGCAGGGCTCAATCCCATGAACTGTGAGATCATGAGCTGAGCCAAAATCAAGAGTTGGATGTTTAACCTACTGAGCCACCCACATGCCCCTCACTTCAAACTTTTTTACTGCCTTAGCTCCTGTACCATTTTCTAATACATCAATCCAATGCAAATGACCAAATAATTTTGGCTTTACTACTTTTTACAAGGCATAATGCAAGAGAAAATGTCTTTACGTTCGTTTTATCTAGAATAACTTGATGAACAATACACGGTTGGAGACACATGATAAATCTAGAATGTGTGTTTCCTAATCCTGCCCTCATAGGGCCTGCCCGACCCCACCCAAGCATCTTCTCCACTTCTTTATATTTAGTATGCTTGATTTAGCCAAGATCTCAACTAAAATATAGAAAAGTATTGGTAGAATAATATAATTATATTGTGTTGGTTCAGAAAGGATTTTTGGACATTATCTAAAACAGTCTTCTCAGGTTAGGAAATTTAGGCAAAAATTATTACCCGGCTTCCTGGAGTCACATAAAAAAATCACATGTAGTTAGCAATAATTGCAAAAGTCCTGACTTCCAGCTAAATGTGTGATTGTTCATGATCATGGTGTACCAAATATGCTATAAAATGTTAAACTGAGTTCATATACTGTAAGAAAAAAAGATGATTGAATTGGCAACAGAAGAACACTTCTTTTAATGTTTAATTATTTGGGGAGAGAAAGAGAGAGAGAGAGAGCACGCACATGAACAAGGAAGGAGCAGAGAAGGAGAAAGAGAACCCCAAACAGGTTCTCCACTGGCAGAGCCCACATGGGGCTCGATCCAAACCCTGAGATCATGACCTGAGCCAAAATCAAGAGTTGAATGCTTGACTGACTGAGCCACCTAGTTACCCACCGAAAAACGCTTAAAACAATTCAGTGTGGTAACATACAGTGTTACATTAATTTCAGGTGTACAATACGGTGATTCGTCAATTCTATACATTACTCAGTGCTTATCAGATAAATTTACTGTTAATCCCCTTCACCTATCACCCATCCCCCTACCCCCCTCCTGTCTGGTAACCCTCTGTTCTCTGTAGTTAAGAGTCTTATGGTTTGTCTTTTTCTTCCCCCTTTGTTCGTTTGTTGTGTTTTTTAAATTCCACATGTGAGTAAAATCATATGGTATTTGCCTTTCTCTGACTGG